AAGACACACTCACACACACACACTTTTGCATTTCAAAGTATTGCTTGTTCATACAGTTGGATGTTGGAGCTTCACTGTGCACTGCTGAATGATGTATGTGCAGAGTTTGACCCTTGAAGGCTGTTTCTTCTGCTCTGAAATGGAATATATTTGTTACATATTAATAGAATTTTTGATTTTTAGATTTTATTTCGGATTTGTGAATGGGAGAAGTAGTAGATGGAAAATATACCAAACAATAATTATTCAAAGTAAAGTATTTCATTTTATATACGGTAATACTAAGGAGGCATAGGCCTATATGATGATACGATTATTGATATTAAAAAAAGTGATTTGTTTTTTGTCATTAGAAAGTGAAGTTATTTATTTGTAAGCTCCAAATCCTAATGTTTTCCTCAATGGCCTTTGTGCCCTGGCATGTGGCCTTTGCGCGCTGAAAAAATGTGTGACACCAAAGGCCAAATGGCCTTGCCCCTAAAATGACGAAAATCCAAGCCTGGGTATGGCCCTACAATATATATTATTCAAATATAGCATGATAGGTCCACTTTAAGATTTAAGAGATGTTTAAGGGCTTAGTCAGACTATAGCTGTGTGATAATACAAATAAAATGCAAAAATTAAAGCTTGCGTATACCAACATATGTTCGTAAACAAGCAAATGACAGAGCTGGAACTCTGCAAGGCAAACGGTGCATTCATTATCTTCTTGCATGGCCCCCCATCTCGAATTGGGAAACCATACTTCTGTCTTAGACAAGTCGTGGGCTTTAAGTCGTAGTGTACAACAACATAAATAAAATAAAAATTGGAGAGAGAATTGGACCCGTTTCCAATTTGTTGTTTATGACATCGGGAACTAGTTTTCCGTATCATTCAAAACAAACTTCCAATCTCTAATGTTAAATTGAGTGAAACATAACACATAGTATACATCCACCCTTCCGATAACCACCAAGTTTTGTAAAACTTGAGCCAGTATTTTTTGGTAATCCTGTTGACAGACAAAACGAAATGAAACAAAAGTAACCTCCTTGATGGATGTGACAACATTTCAAATGATATCATTGAGCATTAAAAATTCCCTATCAGCAGACTGACTAACCTTTTATTTAGAGGCCGAGATGCTTTTTAAAATAACATTTTAATCTCATGTTGGAACAATTTCTTACCCACAACCCTAATGACAAGCACACCCCTTTACTAAATTAAGTAAAAGTTTAAGAAAAATCGACTAACATGGATGAGCAAAGGTTTAATGAACTCTTATCAGGAATGTTTGTTTTACTGTGACACCACATCTGTAAACCCAGACTATGTTCAGTGGTGATAAACCAGGTAATGATTAGCCGGAGTGCCAACCATTTCTCCGAGCCTCACAATATCCAATATCAAGCAGTATTTTTTATGATCGACCTGGGGGTGTTTAATTTATTCCTACCGCAAATGCATTAACACTCAACATCTTGATTTTCGATGGAATCCATTGAAACTGACGACCTGATTAAAATCATGTATGTGCCAAAAACTGCCAAATACAAAGCATTTGGATTGGAACAATTATAAAGAAATAGGCTGAGAAACTTTCTATGAGCATTCTAATTTATTGAAGGCACATCCGTTAATTAAGAAAACAGTAGCTGTGCTGAACATATACATTCATTTTCAATCACCTTTTCCATCACATATTAGAGCTGAGTATTCTACCATATCTGGACAAAAGGCATTTGCTGATTAAGGCAACAAATTAGACTTTATTTTATTTTATTAAAAAACATTAATTTCTTACTGTTGCCTTCATCATAGCGCCCTTGTGATCTTATTTCAATGACACTTGTTAGATTACAACCATAAACACATTGCAAATGTTATGAATAGAAGATACTAACTATTAATATCCAATACCCAGCCTGAGTTTTAGACTCACTACTTCTAATATACAATGCATCACATTTCACACAATATTAAATACCATTTCAATCATCCGAAGAGATTTACAGTGTAAAGCAATTGCTTGTATTGTTATTCACAAGTGTTGTGAATTTTGCAAGAATTTGAGTATAGACAGAATTAGGTCTTTGTTCCACACAGTTATTATTATAATGTTATATACGGCTGACGTTGTTTCTAGACATGGATCAGTAAACCTAGACCAAATCAGTGGAATTTTCCAATTATGTGCCCGAAGACGGAAAAACCTGCAAGAAGTTCTGTTCCAATTCAAGCCGTTTTGCAAACAACCTCCCGCCTCATTTTAACTGATTTTTCAGACCACTACAAAAAAACTAAGTTTTGTGATTAACAGAGGGTAAGCGAAAACTTATCTCCTAAGTTTTATTGATCTGGAATCCTCCGTCTCTTCTGTTTGTCAGTACCCTCCAATTCCTTCATGCAAGCAACCAGGAAATCACGGCACTTAAGTGCATATTGCTCAGGAAATTCCCGCAAATGACCGACATGGGGACTGGAAACAAAATCAAAACTGTCCACGGGGACCCCTTTCCGCTTTAGGGTCTCCACGAACACCTCGATGTCCTTGTGCCGGATCACCTGGTCAGCTCTGGAGTACAGGTAGAAATGAGGCCAGGCTGGCGGCTTCTCCTGCACCGCGTCGTAGTGGTTCTTGTGGATGTACTTGGTCAACGGGTACAGAACGACTCGCAAAAGAAAAACAGTCACTGCGAAAAGGGCTAAGAGGACGTACCTTAATAAGGGTGTTATTTTGGGCCCCAGGGTGGCCGCCAGTGCACGCAGGGCCCCGCGAATATTCCCACTACCTGGGGCACTGTCCACTAAGGCCCCAATCACACGCAATGAACTGAACTGTTTGTCATTGTGCAAAAAATCTATGATGTAACGATAGAGCATGAAGCCACCGTTACTGAATATGTGAAAGAAAATAGGACTGTTTTCCACCTCATAATCATAGAGAATCTCCAGCAACTTGAGGGCCGTGCTGCTCAGCTCCTTGTAGCCAAACGACTCTGAGATGAAGACCGTCTTCAGGGGGGCCGTGTAGCGGATGGTGACACATCCCTAAAGAAAATTAAAATAGAAATAATATATTAGGTTGTACTGCTTCTACAATACGACAATGTTTCTCAATGTATAAAAACAGTATATAAAAATGCATTTGGTACAGTGGTGTAAAGTAAACAAGTAGATCACCTCAAGTACTGTAGTTATGTACAAATTTGAGGGACTTAACTTTAGTATTTCAATATTTTGCTACTTTGTACTTCTACTTCACTACAATTCAGAGGTAAATTGTGTACTTTTACTCCACTATATTTATTGTATACCTTCAGTTACACTAGGAGTAAATGCACAAGCTACCCTGCAGCATACAAAGTAATTAAAACATGCTCCACCTTTAACAGCTTTGATAAACACATATGATATAATTCTGAAATGTGCATAATGAGTACTTTCCCTTTTGGTACTTTAAGTATTTTGATGCTAATACTTTTCTACTTTTACTTGAGTAACATAAATAATGCAGGACTTTTACTTGTAACAGAGTACTCATTTTACTCTGGTATTTCTACTTGTACAAAAGTGCATTTTGCATGATAGGTCCCCTTTAAGTACAAGGTCTGAGTACTTCTCCCACCTTCGATATGGTATCATCTTATCTAGTTTTCACCTGTTCATTGTAGATGGAGCTGTATTTGCAGAGGTGTTTGTCTTTGCAGCCAGCCCAGCCCAACAGAATCACAACTGGCTCCTTTGTCCCCTGCCAGTATCTCTCTGAAATAGAAAAAAAGACGATACACATCACGAAAAGCTGCCACAGCTAGCAGAGCTAAAGGAAGCTACCCAGCTAAGCTAACAGCACAACATAATTCGATGTATCACGCCTTCCTTGTAAGACAAAAGTTAGCATGTACGCTAAGCTAGCTGAGGCATGAACGTACAGTACAATGAAATTATGCTCACCCGATGTCGCCGCATCTGGAAACACGATATTGTAATCTATTTCATCGTCTGCCATTTCTGTATGACAAAGTATCAACTGTTGTTCTCTAACGGTAACGGACGGTTCATTAGGCTATTGTAAAATGGCGGATAAAAAAGCTACAGATAGATAATCAGCGGATATAATGATCAAAGACAGCGTGTAATAAATTAGACACACTGCAGACAGGTTGCTCGATTGTCATTATCAAACGGCCCGATTTCTTATTCTTTGTGCTGTAAAAGGGTGGATGGCATTCAGCTAACATTGCAATAGCGCCACCTCTGTATACGCTTCAAAACAACGCTTCCAGATACAGAAGTTCACCAAAAAAATCAGAACAGGCTAAAAACAGGAATAAACAGTGTTGTAAGAAGTACTGAGATATTTTACTTGAAAAGTACAAATAATATGACCTTTAAATACTCTATTATAAGTAAAAGTCCTGATTTCAACTTAACTTAAGTTAAAGTAAAAAAGTATAAGCAGATGCAATACTTTTTGTACTTTAAGTACATTAAAGTACAACAATGACTAATTCTTCACAACTACCATTTCAGAATAATATAATGTACACAGTATAATTATTATCAGCCAAATGTGCTTCAAGTATGAAAAGTGAAAGTATGTGCTGTGCACAAAGGATCGTTTCATAGCAAATCATGACTCTTTGGGAAAAGCAAGTCATGATATCCAGCCATAAAGCTTTAGAGTGCATAGGATGGAAGAAAGGGTGATCAGTTGTTTCAATATAGTGTCATATCAAATCACTGGATGGATACATTTACTAAGGAGCTATAGGGAATTTTAAATATCTAGTTCGTAACATGAATAAAAACACAAACACTATACTGTCAGGAGAGCACTCTTCTCTACACAAACTAATCATAAGATTTGTAATTCAAGTAAGTATTAATAAGAGATACAAATTAAATAACTCAAAACCGTTTATTAAGGACTTACTAACAATTATAAATGCAGATAAAAGGACTTGTTAGATAGTTAGAGACACATGATCTGATTGATGCAAATAATGAAACATTTATTGTAAAACAGTGCAGAGGCTTAAAAGAGCACATTGGACGTCGTATTAGGGGGCGTTGTTGGAAAAGTAAGGCACTGAAGTCTCGGGTGGAGCGTCTCTGCAATCTTTGGCCTTCAATGAATCGGCATGCGTAGAAAGTGCTGGTGGTTGCAGAGATGGGGAGGGGCATTTTTAGTCCTGGCAATGAGCAGGAAGGGTGGTGAACGTGCACGATAGGGAGGAGGAAGCATCTCTTGATCTGGAAGTCCAACAAGGCCTGGAGAAAACACAAAGAAAAGGTGTTGCATTAAAATAGCATTCATCAGCAAACTTCCATCAAAAATCCCATGACTTAATGTCTCATACTGCTATACTCTACGTACAAGTGGGAGGAAGAGGAGCTCTTTCTGTTTCATGAAGGCATCATCACAATCAGTCAGGTTCATGTTGAGGAGTGTGTGCTCAGTCTTTCACACAACGTATGGAAACACCTGTGAGAAGAAGAAGAAGTGCACAGAATATAAACAGAAGCCCAGCCCAGGCATGCTATTTTTATACAGATATATTTTCCCATGTTTACTCAAAGATCATATTTACCAGTGTTTCTCTGGTCGTTGCTGTTCCACTTAGATCCAACCATAGCAGTAGGATAACATCTGTGCAGGTTTCCTTATAGAGGCGGAAGGTGGAGGTTTGACCCCAGCTTTCTGTGGGGATCTTCAGGTGGAGGAGGTGTCTTCAGGCGGCTGGCAAAGGTTACAGGTGGAGGTTTGGATGGCAGTAGTGTACGAGAGGTGTAGGTGCTGGTTCAGGTTGCTGACAGAGGCTGTGGGTGGAGGTTCAGCCGCAGTTGGCTTCAAGAGGTGTAGACGCAGGTGCACTGGCAGAAGCTGTGGGAGGAGGTTTGGCTGTCAGCAGTGTCTGTCAGAATCTACATATGGAGGCGGTGGCTGCAGGAGAAACTGGTGGTGGTTGCTGAGATGGGGTGGGGCACTCTTAGTTCTGGCGATGAGCAGGAGGGGTGGTGAAGGTGGAGGATGTGGAGGAGGAGGAAGCATCTCTGGAACAGAGCTGTTGTAAAAGGAGTTGTCCTCAGGGCCCTGAAGCAGCTCCTGGTAGATCTGGAAGTGTAAGGTGTTGCATTCAAATATAATTCATCACCGAACTTCCATTAAAAATCCCAATACACTCAGAGTGTGTTGTTAAGAAATCTCATACTGCTATACTGTACGTACAGTGGAGCTCTCTCGTTTCATGAAGGCATCACAGTCAGTCAGGTTCATGTTGAGGAGTGTGAGCTCAGTCTTTCACAACGTTTGAAAACACCTGTGAGAAGAAGAACAAGTGAACTGAATGTAAACAGAGAGCCAGCTTTAATAACACAGAAATATGTTTGCATATTAACTGAAGGACTATATCTACGTGTGTTTCTCTGGTCCTTGCTGCTCCACTCAGGTCTCCACATGGCAGTAGGATAACATCTGTGCAGGTTTCCTTATAGAGGCTGTAGGTGGAGGTTTGGCCACAGCTTTCTGTGGGGATCTTCATCTGAAGACGACCACTCCCCCAGTGGTCGTCTTCAGATGGCTGTAGGAATCTGCAGGTGGAGGCGGAAGCTGCAGGTTGCTGACAGAGGCTGTGGGTGGAGGCTCGGATAGCAGTTCACTTCGAGAGGTATAGGCACTGGCAAAGGCTGTAGATGGAGGTTCAGCCATCAGTTATTCAACAGAATGTGCAGTTGGAGGAGATGGCTGCAGGTTGCTGACAGAGGCTGCAGGTGAAGAGTGAGGCAGCAGTTTGATGCTGAAGCTGCTGGTAGAGGATGTAGGCAACAGAGAGACAGAGGCTACAGGTGGAGAGGAGTCTGTCATCTCACAGGCTGCAGCTCAAGGCTGATGTTTTGTCTGGTAGAAGTAACAGGTGGAGGCTGGAGGGTGGAGCAGGTGTTCTGGCAGGTGATAACTGTTGCTGTTGAGGCTGAAGCTGGAGTAAGAAGACTGTTAACAGAGGAGCAGGAACTGATTCAGAGGAAGACAATTCATCAGTGGTGAGATACATTAAGATCAATGAAAGTAAACTTAACTCAACTAAATACTAACTCTTAACACTAAATACTTATTCTTAATACTAAATACTTAAACTTATTACTAAATACTTAAACTAAACACTAAATACTTAATACTTAATACTTCAACTTAGTACTTAAACAGAAAACTTAAACTAAACACTTACTCTTAACACTTTATACTTATTACTAAATACTTAAAATGAAAGACTTGACACTTAATACTTGTGCTTGGCACTAAAAACGTAACACTTAATATGAAATACTTCAAACAAATTACTATAACTAAAAACTTAAACTAAACACTTACTCTTAACACTTTAGACTTATACTTATTACTAAATACTTAAAACTAAAGACTTAGCACATAATACTTATGCTTGGCACTAAAAACGTATCTCTACACTTAATAAACTTAAACTTATCTGCCATACTTTAAAAAAAAAACTAAACTAAACTTAAAGCACAGTATTATTAGACATGTCAGCTTATGAGAGTGTGTCTTAGTGCTTTGCCCTTTTTGCTGGTGGATATTCGGGCTCTGGTTCACCAGAAACATCCACGTTGTAGAGCGGAGGCTGGACTCCAGCACCGTAGGACACGTCCACATGGACCAGACCGTCTTCATCCACTGTCTCTGTGAACATCGGACGGTCCAGTCGCTCCCACAGCTTCTGCTTGATACGACGACCCAGACCCAAACTATATGGACGCAGGCGACCGTCCGGGAACCTGAGAGGAGAAACACAAAAATAAATCTTTATGATGAAGGAAAATAGAGAGATAGATTTCTAAGAGAGTGGAAACTCTGTAAATGAACTGACTCATTTGTGACGCAACGTACCTCAGCATGTTATCCACAACTTCATGGTAGATGAGCTGGTACTCCTCGACTGAGCGGTTGTGGATCCTGATAGGGTCTTCGAGGTGCAGGGGAGCATTGGAGGTCCGGGGGCTGGAGGCCACATTAGAGACAGGTGGCAGGTCAGCAGGTTTAGGAGGAAGAGCCGCGGAGGTCTGCTTCCTTTTCTGGGGAAGGTCTGCAGAAGCAGCAGGGCGCCGGCGCTTTGTATGTGGCACCTGGAGAAGGTCAGCAAAACACGAGAGGATGTCAGACTCTAGTAAACTTCTTACTTAACAACATACTTTTATCATTTTACAAGAGGAAACATCTACATCAGATGCAGAGGATTACTTGAAATGTGAGTATTTGGGGCATTAGTCCTGTACAATGGACCTTCTCAAACTATTTAGTATTGACAATATACTCCACTATGTGTTTACCTTTTTGTAAACCTGTCAAACAATCTTGTGGATTAAACTGTGTACAATTTCAAGGAACAGAGTTGAGGATCAGATGTCTCACCTGGTTGTCCCTGCAGCAGGGACACTGTCTGCAGACTGCAGGCCTCCTCTGGCGGGCAGAGACTCTCCTTCCTGTCTGGTTGTCCTGCGGGGAGGACGGGCACTCGACCCTGCAACAACACACACTCATGTTAGGATGAGGCTCTACAAGTACATGCAGGATGGACCTTTTTCAAGTATGTTGTCATGTCGTAGTATACAAATCAAATGTGTTATAGTTTTATGTGCTGGAAGATTAACTTGCCAAAGATGGATGTGGTTGTTGGATAAAAATCATAAATGAAGAAACATGAAACATAATCAAAGTCTGAAAACCTCCTCAAGACGAGACAGGTCCGGTAACAAAACAAGAGCCACCTTTAGGCCCTCATGTCAGTTAATATTGTGCTTTAGTGACACATATGTGACGTGATTACAATGTTATATAATAAGCATATGTCTGTTTATTGTTTGAACATATAATATTGCACATGTATACAGTATGATGGAAATAATGCTAAGTTAAAGTGAGTGACTTTAATTAGCTTGATTCAAAGTTACAATATGAATGTATTTCAGCTTGAAGCTGGGTGATATAGCCTAAAAAGTTAATATAAATGATTTGTATTAGATACTACATTTATTTGTTAATATTGTCATATAGCCTAGTTTTGATGAATGCATGTGTATTTTTGGTAGTTTTTAATGCAAAGATGTATTAATTGAGTCGTCACAGTATACTTGACCTTAATCAGATAGTTACACTGTTTAATGGTAGGCCTACTTATCGTTACAGGAGACTAAATGATTTGATAAACATCAGTAAACTGTGAGGTTTCTGAAAATGTCGACGGCAAAGCACATTGGAAACAACGGGGACTTTCAACGTTATGAAATCTTACATTTTCCATAATTAAAGTGTGTTTTCTCGCTGTAATAACTCTCAGGGGTTCTCTGACTCTTGTCGGGATGTAAAAAGACTTGAGAAGAAGCGATAATTTGGCAGAATCGTCGAGTGAAAGCGGAGGAAATATTTTCGTGACCGTCTTCAGGTAGTTTTCAGGTTGTTATGGTTTAAATATTGATCCGATATTGACGCTAGTCCTGCGTCAAACCATAGCAACCATGGAATCCTCTACGTCCATTTTGTAAACATAAATATTGAATCTGTAGATATATAACTGGTATTAAACTGGAAATGTATAACACGCAGCTTTCAGTTTGCTAGCTTAGAGATAAATCACAATGTGCAGCAGAGACAAATATCAATACATGGTTTATCGTTATCTTTAACCTAAAGACGAAACCTCTATGGAAAGAAATTATGAAAACACTTGTTATTGAACTATTAGTGGTTGGCCTACGTACCTGTTGATGTTGTTGTTGGTCTGATCATTACTCAAATACAGCAAGTTGAGCTAATGAAACATCTGATCTCAAATGTAAAGTACAATCAGCCTGAGATGAAGTCCATGTCTTCATATGAATTTACAGATCTGAATGCTTCCAGTGTCTGATATAAAACGTGTTTAACTATAAATATATAAATGCTTACGTGCTGTGATTTCATTGCAATCATCATGTAAAATATAAACTAGACTTTGTTTCTATTTTCCTCTGAGTGAACCATACTGTGGCAACTGGACACAAGGACCTGTGTTTTGTTAAGTAGAACATTAAAGACAGAGTTTGTCTCTTTCATGATTGCTTTTTTGACAAAAGTTTCATGTGAAGATTTACACTAATTTAATCTCAGTGATTGCCTTTTTTTGATATCACAGGGCAGGGCTCTTCCTGGGTGTATGGCCTTCCTGAAGTGGGACAGGAGACAACAAGAACAACACAACCAGTGTGATCCACAGCGGTCAACACCTAGCACCCCATTATATACACGTGATTGCTTTGATATTGAATTCAATGAAAACACCTCTATTAAATAATCCTGTGTTCTGTGACATACTTTACCCTCAGTGATGTGTTCAAGCTGAACTACTTCCAAACAATGTTGTCACCAGGAATCTGTTTCAACTGAAAGTATTTGTAACAACAAACAAATGTGATTCCTTCTCCGTCACACAAACAGAAACAAGAAAACGTTTGTCCAGAGGGTGGCGCCAGAGGACAGGCTGAGTTACTAAAGACCAAATGGTTTATCCTGTGTAGGAGCTATACACCAACTTTCACTGTAGTCAGTTTGCAAACATTTAAAAAATAAAATGATTATCCATTTTGTAGTTCACAATAAAAATGGATTTATCGACAATCTGATTTTTTAATTTATAAATGGGATGTCAACTTGTGAGTGTGGTACAATTGGTGCCACACTGCTGATTTATTAACCATTACTTCCATGGACAGTCGATTACAAATGATGTGCTGGTTATAGCAAGGGATTATATTCTTGGCATTTTGTTTTAATCATCCTTCAAGATAAAACCAGTATAAGTAAATAATTAAATAAAGAAAATGATCATTTTTAAAGAGCATACATTTAATTTTTCAAAGGTAACTCCTGTAAAATGAAGAATTAATGCAAATCAAGGATCTGGCTCTTTCCAGAGAAACCTTGGAAACAATACCTGGCTTGATCAAAACAGCTGCCACTGTAAAATGTACAAAAGTCTTACAAAGAAATAAAAACAGTATAGAGCTTGAGAAACTTACATTTCAACACTGCCATACTGAAAGGTTGTGCCACAAGCAATAATAATAATATGAATATATGAATCTGTATAACTGGTATTAAACTGGAAATGTATAACACTCAGCTTTCAGTTTGCTAGCTTAGAAATAAATCACAATGTGCAGACAATATCTATTCATATCAATACATGGTTTATCATTATCTTTAACCTAAAGACAAACCTCTATGGGGAAAAATAATGAAAGCACTTGTTATTGAACTATCAGTGGTACATAGGCCTACCTGTTGATGTTGTTGTTAGTCTGATCATTACTCAAATACATACATCTAACACTGATCTAAAATGTAAAGTACAATCAGCCTGAGTTGTCTTCATATGAATTTACAGATCTGAATGCTTCCAGTGTCTGATATAAAACGTGTTTAACTCTATAAATAATATAAATGCTTACGTGCTGTGATTTCATTGCAATCATCATGTAAAATATAAACTAGACTTTGTTTATATGTTCCTCTGAGTGAACCATACTGTGGCAACTGGACACAAGGACCTGTGTTTTGTTAAGTAGAACATTAAAGACAGAGATTGTCTCTTTCATGATTATTTTTTTGACAAAAGTTTCAAGTGAAGATTTACACTAATGTAATCTCTGTACATTGCCTTTTTTTTTATATCACAGGGCAGGGCTCTTCCTGGGTGTATGAAGCCATATGTGGTCTGACAGATGGCAGTCATTTTGTTAAAATGGTAGTGTGTTCTCCAAATTGTCACTGGTGTTACTCTTCTTCCTGGTAACGCGTAACACCAGTGACGTTCCTATATAAATAAGCTTCGTATAATGTATACAAATAAATAAAAATACTTTAAGCTCTACTGGATTCATCAAGTTAAGAGTTAGTTAGAGAGTAGTTAGTTATTGTCAGGGCTGAGTGAGGCAAGCAAGACCCAAATGCAGATGAACAGAAAAAAATACCTTTATTTCAAGGCTACTGAAACAAACTTGGACAAACCAGTACTCTCACCCCGTGAACAACGTCCAAATACGACAAGGAACTCACAAAGACTAACAGAAAACACAGAACCTAAATACACACAGGACTAATCAAACAAACAAGAGACAGGTGAGGAGGGCGGAGAAAACACAGGGACACCAGGTGAACACAATCGGGTAATCAGGGAGGGAAAACAGAAAGAAAGCAACAGGCAGGAACGGGGGGTGAACACTTTACAAAATAAAACAGGAAACCAAAGACAGAAAAAGACAAGACAAAACACAACACGGACAGATCGTGACAGTTATTGCTATTTAACATGGTTTTAGATGTGTAAGAAGGAATATATTTCAGCAGATTTGTATCACCCAGATTCCACCTTTTCTGTATATTGACCCGTGTGAAAAGCAGACATACCATGTGAACCATTTCATTTAATTCAGCTTATTCCATTTGTTTTGGTATGTTCAGAAATGTTTTAGAAGTAGGCTATAGATGAGAGTAACAAATGCGTCACTTCCGGGCAAAAATAACGTCTCCGCCCACTTTTGGGGGAAACAACGCTGTCATTTGAATGGCGATCGAGCCTGAAGCCACAGAGGTCTTCTTTTACTGTCCTTTCTTCTTAGAGGAAGTACAGAAACACTGAACTCTGGATTATTTTTAATGTTTGATGTGCAATAAACGACACGGCAGCTTGTTGGCATGATACAACAATTATGTTCCGCCTCGCTCATGAGAGTAACAGCTGGAGAAATTACAGCCTCGCCTACTGATTTTAATTTAACCATATATCAAGACCGATTGTCGATTACCAATGATCAAATGTAATTGTTTGCCTGTCTGGCCATCGTAATCGGGCTCTTTGAAGATCCAAAAATCGACGGTTTTCAAAAAAACGTGATCGGATTGGCAAAAACTTCAGAATTTGTATTGACCGCCATTCAAATGACAGCGTTGTTTTCCCCCAAAAGTGGGCGGGGCCGTAATTTTTGCCCGGAAGTGACGTAAGTGTTACTCTCATCTCTTGGAGGCATTACTATTGTCATTGCTATAATTTATTGTTTCACTATGAGATACATTGTGTGACATGAATAATGTGTTATCGATGTACATACACATGAATAACATTTTATAAAAATCAAACGGGAAGCATTTTATTTTGAATGCGCGGCTCATTTTCCGGGATGGTCACATGGTATTTCAAGATGGCCGCGCCCAGCAGCGAAGTGTAGAGGCAGACAGGATTGTGAAAGCAGGTTTTACTGACCGTCGAGGAGCCGCAGGACGCAGCTGACATCTCCACAGAGAGACCGAGGACCGTCTGAGTAACCTGTCTCCCCCACAGACCCGCCGACATGAGCCAAAACGATTTAATCCTGTAAGTAATTCTAAAACACAGGACTACCTTAGATTAAATGCTAGCATTTGGGTTCTTGCTGAGTGACATTATGAAACGTTCCTGTATCACTCTTAGAAAAGCATTCCTTTACATAATATGAATTGAATATAGCATGATGTTTATCGTTTTCTAATCGTGTTTTTGTCATTATATTAACGTTAACCCTGGAAACAATACATCTTCGGAATATTGATCTTTTCAAATAGTATACTGAAATGTATTTATTGAGAATAAAGCCCTTGAGATGAACAATCTCGTTTTCAAGGGGGTCCTGACATAATACAAACAGCAAGACATTCAGAAGAACCAACTACAATCACAACACACAATTTAGAGGTTACACATTTGAAAATTACCACTATATGGCCACAGAGAGGCCATGAACAAATACAGTAAATACAAACATAATGTTTTCTACGTGTTAAATCATGGATAGCATGTACAATTCACCTCAAAATAAGAAGACAAAGCGTTTTAAAACTCTAAACACTTGAAAGGAAGTCAAGCATTTTATGTTTGATGGTAAATTATTCCAATCTGAAGGTGCTTTGAACATAAATGATCTTTTACCAACTGCTTTGGATACTGAGGGAGTGGAATACAAGTAGTATCCTTCTTTAGTTTTAGTTATCCCAGTTAAATGCCAGTTACCTATTCATTTGTTACAGTTAAAGTTAACATTTTGTTTAGTTTGCAGGCTTCAATGTTTAAATTAAGTCAAAGCTATTCTCAATAATCCATAGAAAAGTTAGTTTCAAGTCCAAGTTAAATTTCAGCTTGTGATGCATCACCGATACATGTAAAGCAGCTTTTCATTCAACCGTTTTCCTACTGTTTGAAGATGATAAAAGGGTGGAGAAGTGGTATCTCTCATATCTCTCATTTCGTTCATTTGTGCTCTTCTGTCCATATGATCGCTGAGGAAAGGGAGGGGTTTGCCTGGATGTTAGATAACGGAAGCTTGCTGTAACCCCTGGGCTATATTGATTAGGACACTTCCAGCCAAACCCCTCAAAAAGGGCAATTACTTTTTGAATGTTTTACTTTTCTAATACCATTGTATTCTGTGTTCTACAAATAAAAGCTGATTGAAATCGGTGTGAATAATAATACGAATGGTAGTCAACTACAAATATTGAATGTGATTCATTGTCAACAACAAGAAGAGTCACATCCCTGAAACTGAGAGAAAAATGTACGTTACTTACCTCTGCGTTTGTTCCGGTACTGGCTGGGTAAAGTGGCTCTGGTGTAGTTTTATCACATCCAATTTTAGCTGTCTTGGTCTACAAACTTCTGCGTAATTTTGTTAGTAGCACAAAAGGAACAGAGAAAGAAAGAAAGGAAGCATAGATACACCTTTTAACCTTGAAACTAAAGGGTGTTGGGTTAGGTGAGAAAATAATTCAAGTATATTTTTTTACAACAATATAAAAGAGATATTAGAGGGAATATGATGATTTGTTTAACTCCTTAACAACAAAACCCAGAATGTGAATGTCATAAAAAGCTAAATGTTAAAAATAATTGGGATTTTTGTTTGAGTTTTTTACTGTGGTATCGGATTGGTATTGAAACAGGTGGAAAGTCTCTGGTATTGGTATCCGCTACAGCATTTTTGTGTTGTGAAATTCCTATTCTTCATAATGCAGTGAGGGTTCTATTTAGATTACATCCTGAATGGTTTACTTTAACTTTTGTTGTTTTTACAGATAGGGTAGCATTGTGAATACTCAGCTGTCTGGCGCTGCTTTGAACATGACTCTTCAAGGCATCATTGCTTAAAAAAGACTGAGGCTAAACCGAGGGTATGTTTCTTTTTTATTCAGCCCCAAGGACTTCCCCCAGCTCAAGAACGATACATTCCTGCGAGCCGCACGAGGAGAGGAAACTGAACATGTCCCTGTGTGGTGTATGAGGCAGGCTGGACGATACCTACCAGGTACTGTGATCAGTGATCAAATCATCTCTCCTAACAAAAGTCACAGACTTTCTTTGCATTATTGTTTTATTTAACCTTTTGAATTGTGAAGACATAGGCTAATATTTTGTTGAATTGAATTTTCAGAGTTTCGTGAGTTCAGAGCAGGGAAGGACTTCTTTGACACATGTCGGTCGCCGGAGGCCTGCTGTGAGCTCACTCTGCAGGTATAGCAGTGTTTTTCAAACTTATTATGAAAAGTCAAATGTCAATAATATGAAAACATGAAATATTATTATTATTTTTAAATAGTGTTCTGACTTACCCCAGAAGAGAGCAGTGTTATATATGACTGCACTTCTATTTCTAATGATCTTTCATTGACTTAAACAAGAAAATACTCTTTTGCCCTTTAAATAAACAGAGAATTGCTTACATTCTCCTGTTGTGCTACATTTCTGCTCATGAACACATTAGGGATGCACGATATTGGGGAAAATATTCTGGGCAATATATGGAAATACGAAAAAAGGACATGTGGCCTGTTTGTTAAATCAGTGCATCAATCTTGACCAGTGTTTCTCAAACATTTTCATACCAAGGACCACTTAACCAATAAAAAACTCCACAAATATCAAAAAACACATCGTTTTTCTAGAACAGATTACAAATCACCTGAAAATGGTACAAACAAGTGGCAACATGTGTGATGAAGGTGTTGCGCTGGGCTATTGTAGAGGAAACTTCTGTGTAGCAATGCAGTGGGAGTCACCGACTCAGGAAGGAGACACGGTAGAGCAGGAGCTTTGATGTCAAACACTGATGATTTATTTGGAGTTACGGCCGGAGAGTTCACATCACAAGTCACAGCAGTCACGGTGAGACTGCACGGGTGGATTGCCACGTCAACTCTGGAGCGCCTCTCTCTTGTTAGCCCATTTAACTGGTTTCACAGAGAGTAATCAACATATTTTGATAAGATAGCTTTAGACAGTTGGGCACACTGAGTCACTTGCGTCCGTCACTTATGGCCTCGAAGAAGTCATACCTTGGAGTTAGGGCTGTGCAATTAATCGTATTTTAATCGCGATTACGATTATGGCTTGCGACGATTAGGAAAACAGCATAATTGACAAAATACGATTATTTTGCTGGGTGCGCTTTCGCCCCTCCCTAAAAGCCCACTCGGCCACGTGGGAGTGACATGTGTTGTGAGTGTTCAGCGCAAGCGAAGATCTCAGAACAAGAGCAGCAACTAGTTAAAAAGAAGGGTCGCGGGGAGATTCCCAGTCGATCGCGAGATGTGTCTAAAAATAGAACAACAATATTCTGTTTTATCGTTAATGTCCTGTAACATAATGTTCCCGTGCCAGAATAATGCACTTGAACGCATCAAAGCTTTGTGATTGGCCGGCCTCACCCCATGTGTCCGGGCGTGGCTGGTGAGCAGTGCACTAGTTCGCTGACGTTGTCCGTGTCAACAGCATGGATGGTCAACAGGAGTGACAGTCCGCACGCACACAAGACCGCAATTATGGCAGAAGCAAAAAAGCCCAAAATATATAATTTTCACTCCGAGTGGGAGGATCATTATTTTTGTATCTATTCCAATTCAAAGTCCATCTGTCTCATCTGCAATGCGAGCGTGGCTTTATCGAAGAAGGGTAATTTAGGAGCGGCATTTCAAAACAGTGCACAAACGCTACGAGACGGAATTCCCTCCTAATTCTGCCCTACGCTCCAAAAGGGGAGGGGCCTGAAAGGACAGCTACATGCACAGCAGTCCATTTTCACCAGGCCCAACAACAAGAGCAAGGCTGCTACCAGAGCATCTTATCGTGTCAGTCACGTTCTTGCGAAACACATGAAGTCTTTCGAAGACGGCGAAGTTATGAAAGAAGCATTCCTGGAGGCTGCCGATGCGCTTTTTGGGGACAGTAAAAATAACAGCAGCATTTCAACAGGTTTTGATATAATAAAACTCAATTTAGATACCGTTATTAATCAGCTGTAAGTTTTAGTTTGTTTGAACTTATTCATTATAATTATTGTACAAAATGGTATAAGAATGCAAACATTAAGATCTGTTCTGTTTAAATTGATTATAGTCTATCAGTTCAGAAACTATTGTTGCTTGCATCCTATTTTAAAGGCATTTATTTTTATACTCTAATAAAATGCAACAAAAAATGGGTTTGATTCTATTAATGTTGTCTTTTTTATTGCACTGTTGCTGCAGCAGATTACTGTGTAGCTTCAGATCTGAGTTGTCTTATTAGTAAGCCTCATTTATACTTTTGTAGCAACACTATTTTTATATAATGGCAAAGAAAGGGTTCTTCAGAGTCTTTTCTTTTTTTCCTGTGTCATATGTGGCAGCACTGCCACAAGTTCCTCTTCAGAGAGGGTCTTCAGTACATGTGGCAATATCGTCACCTGCCTGCGCTCATCTCTGAAACCAGACCATGTAAACAGCCTGGTGTTTCTTGCAAAAAATCTTTAAGAGATGACATGAGCAGCCCTACCAGCATGGTGTGACCATGGTGGCCTAAACATTTTTATTTGGTCTTAAATTGTAGTTCAACATTTATTTCCTGTTACTTTTGGACCATGACGGTTGGCCAGCCTTCAACATTTAACTGAGTGGAATATGTTGAATATGTTTTACCAAAATGTTGGCTATATGTTAAGGAGTTTTCAGTAGGTTGTGACAGTGCACTGCAACATATTTGATTTCATTTATTTTGGTCTAATTTATTTTTATTTATCATATTAATATATGTTTAGTATGGTTTTGGAAGTGCGCTCCAACATATTTGTTGATCTTGTTTATTGGTAAAATATTATTTGTTTTAAAGTTCAATAAATGGTCAATGAATAATCGTCAAAATAATCGTGATATCAATTATTGACCAAATAATCGTGATTATGATTTTTGCCATAATCGCACAGCCCTACTTGGAGTCCATAAGCAACAAAGAAGGAAGTGTCTCAGTGCACCCACAACAACAGACCATCTGTGACCTAGTGTTGACCGGTCACAGAATGGGAACAATAACATTATGGCTCAAGCAGCCTATGTCCTTAAAGGAGATAAACAGACGTCAGGGTTGGTCCTGTACGTCATATCTAGGAGTCTAGGACAATTATTTCCATAACAGTCCTCTCTTTTTATCATTTATGATAACCTAAAAACATTAGTCTAATAATAATTTGGTCAATAATTAACTCAATAGGCGTCTCCAGATTTGAGTGTGGTCTCACCTTACATTAATTACATCACAAAGTGGAATAAGATTGAAACATTCAATCACAATGATTGATACAGCCAATCATAATAGGAAAAATCATCTCTCATCAGTGTTTGATCATCTTTTGTCAAAAGCACAATAATGAACACACATAAAACACAGGTGCATAAATAGATAAATATTTGTTTTAAACTAATATCTTTTATCATTTACCATTAGTTAATTTCATTCATCAAACTATAAAATCAAAACCAGCTTGCCGCTTTAAAGATTTACTTCAAGGCAATCACTAGTCAAAAGCATTTTATAACTCAGGATCGTAAGAGATCCAGCTACAAATTCACAGTTAGAGTATAGAATTCACACTGGTGATTTGATCAATCTGTAATCTGCAAAATTGCAGTGTCCTCAATTTTAGGATTACTTTTACGTTTACTTAAATACGCTTTAGTCAAGAGTAAGGCACTTAGTCAAATCAATACATTCATTTTAGTCAAGTACATTGTTCAAAATCTGAAAAGGAAAAGTTAGGCAAATATTCAAAGACTTTTGTAAAAACCTGGAAAGGAAGGATTAAACATTTTTAAACCTTGAATTATTACATTTGTAAATGCTACCACTGATCTGTACCAAATTAAGTCTATCAAGTATTCCTAGTAGCCATACTTACCTGAGCTACTTATGGTACTTGGAAAGGATTCTTCTGTGTTTATCTAATGTTGAATATAGAATATCAATTTCTTTAATTTATACTTCTCTAATTTGAGGATCAAATATGCTACATAATTGTTATATGAAATATTATAAATATTGAAATTAATCCAGTACTTGAAACATCATTGTAGGTCTTTCTGTGCATGGATAATACATTAAAGAGTAGTGTTGTTAAGCCTGATTGCTGGACGATTAAGGATATTAACATTATCTGTGATAATAGTAGAAATATCTTATTATTCAATCTGAAAATATTAATTAATTAATTTTGTTTAGTGCGAAAGTGTAATCTGATCCGGCAAAAATATATTAATCACCACTATTCAACACATGTCTGGTCATTGGAAATATAAAGACAGTCATTAATTGTACATCTGTAAACATCCAAGATATAAAATCAATGCAAAGTTCATCTTTGTACGAGAGCTGGAAGAACGTGTCCTTCAGTCTTTCTGACTCGTTCTCCTCCTCTCTTTATGACAAAGAGTGTCTGGTGTGTAAAGGCATCCTGATACTGTAGATTAGCACTGAGGTGCTGATTGGCTCAAACTCTTCGTCATCAGAGCGCCATATTTCAACCCCCCAATTGCTCTGCTTTTGTGGCTCAATTCAGTGAGCACTGTATGATCCCCCCAGTGAAATGGAGGCTCATCTGCCTGCATTCCTTCTGCTATCTGCTTGAGAGCAGTGCAACTGCGTATTCCAAGTGGCGCATCCAGGTCTCCCCCCGTGATGGGAGAGGTTAGGAAGACATCTGCTCCTCCAAGAAACAAGGAACCTTGTATGAAGCCTCTGAAGTCCTTGCTCGTCCCGCAGGGTTGTCTGCCTGAGCCCACCGAGCAGAATGGTGAAGAAGCATCCCATCTCCTCAGATAGTTGAAGATTAGAATCCTCTCATCTCGAACGACCTCGTGCCTCCTTGCCCGTGGCTGGGGGTGCCCTCTGCAGCCGGAGAGTGTGACCCTCTCTCTCTGACCCTTGGCCTTCAGAGCTGTCCTAGTTATTGGGTTAACACTTGATAGGGATGTTTTCCTGAGTGCAGACAACTCAAAGTAATGGATTAGTACATTATCATTTAATTACAAAAATAGGATAGGCCCCTCAGAATGATTTGGGAGCCTTCCTAACACATGCACATGCATAAATGTAAGTTTTGTGTTAGTCATTTAACATGCAAGAATCATATACTCATCAGTCCAAAGTAGAGAAATGTTATTGTAATTTAAATGTGAGCTAGTCCCTGTGGATATCACCCCTTCTCA